GAAAGCAACGTTTACCTTTCAGTTCTCTGCCTCTAGAACTCCTCCCAAGTTTCGGCAGAGCTCCCGCAATCGGTGGGCCGACTCCCCACAGAGTCTTGCTGCGGTCCTACGGGTTGCAATCCCGCCTGCCGCCTTCCTCTCAGAACAGGATTAGACTTAGAGTAAGAAGGGCAGGAGATAAGGGGTTTCAGACTCTCGAGATACAGGAGAGGGACTGACTCAACTCGCAGGAGAGGGCCTTGATACCTTTTATCACCTGAGGGCCCCGCAATGGCGGCCAAAATCGCAGTGGTACTCTCCTTGCGGAGCCTGATCGCTTTCCTCCAAATCCCTATGCCTTCACCATTTGACTAGAACTGCAGCTATGCCGCTTTTGACGCTGTGCTCGAACAAAACACATTGCTCCTGTGCTCTATTCAAACCCATGTACTCAACTACCCTATATAGACCTGGTGGTTATAGCAATGGCCCATTCCAGTGCTTCTATTCGAATAGAGCACATATCCGTGCTCTAGTTTGGGCACAGCAATACCTGGCGACTTGTGTAGCAATACACAGTAAAAAGTGCAGCAAGTACAACAACCTGTAGTAGACACAACAACGGTCGTAGCAGAAAACGTCGCTGGATAACACAATCGATTGTACAACAATGGTGCAACAAAAGCAACTGCAGTAGACAACTCGCCCAGTGACCAACAGTGCTTCAGTCACACAACATCACTAGTCTACCGAAAACATAGTGGTAGCGACACTCGAGACATAGCCTACTGCTGCGTGAACAAGGTCCTAAGTTGCGTAGTATAACTAGCTGTTGTGGCACCCGACATGTTCCTATCCGCAGGTGCTAAGAAAAGCAAGCCTACAGTGGTACTACACCAACAAAGAACGAAAGCATTAAAGTCGAGTTCCAAAACGAGAACACACTTTCGCTACTATCAACACAAGCACTCAGAGCCCTCTTTCCTATCTGGCACTCGGCGCCCTGACTACGGTTATGTGGCTATTCCCAATCCACAAGCAAGTTTGTCATTTCGTGACTCGTCTGCCGCTACTTCAGCTAACGGTATGAGCAGTGCCTCAGTCAACAGGTTAGCCTCCGCCCTTGTTGCATGTCTCACACTACTTATCAGCTATTGTAAACGAGAGCGATCACTGCTCCTAAAACCGGAACAGATACATGCCACCAAAGTGGCTTAAAGCCAGACCAAGGAGCGTACAGGGCCTCCAGGTACATATTTTTCTTGCTTGGCACCTCTCTCTTGCCTCTCGTCGTGCTCTGTAACTTCGCCACCCGATTTTCAGCCTATCTCACCTCGCCGATCCTCCCGAGTACGTGCTTACTCTCCCCGTTCGCAGCCTGACACTCCTGAACTCCCAACTCCACACTTCTCCGTTGAATGCGCTTGGCTGAGAAAGTGCGATACATCAAGATACCATCCCAATGAGAGCAATACAATGAACTCGAGAGCCAAGAATGGATTCTCTCTAGCCATACCAACACTGTACCCAAAGTCGCTTCTACTGTTCGGCGCTCGACGCCCAACCTGTACCGCTCAACCTAACTAGCCTTCCTACGTTCATGCTACCAGATCCCATCGAAGTTTTGAACTCTAACGCTGTGGACACCGAACCCCTGTGATTACAGGCCGACCACAACGAGGAGAAGGTAACTGCGATCGCTGGGTGCATTCGAAATGAAATTTACCCCGTTCACACAGCCAAAACGAATCAAGAAAAGAGAATGAATCTTCCCGAAAAGAAGGGAAAAATACACCCTGCGCGCAATGTCCGTTCCTCGTAGCAAAAGAATCACCCATCGTCTTCAAAATCCGACCCTATAATTGGATTTCCCCACCCTCAAAACGCATCTTACCTCGCTCGAATCCATCGAGGATCGAGCGAGTTTCGAATTTTTCACTCCCGTCTTCTTTCCCTTCTGACACTCTGCGCACGACTTTTCTCTTCTTCCTCACTTTACACTCCTACCTCCAAAATAACTTCACGAATTGATTCGCCCTGTCTAAAAACCCCATTCTAGTATTTTCACTCGCTCGGTTCTACATAGAATCGAGTGAGTTTCTCTCTCTTTCCGTTTCTGCCATAGCCATCCTCCGCCATCTCTCAGCGCAACACCCTTCTACTTTAGCTCCCTAAATACTAACTTTCCTACCAATCTAACCCCATCATTGCACTCGTCCTGGACTAGAACCCCAAACTCCCTTTGTCACTCGCCCGATTCCGCGAAGAAACGAGCGAGTTGTGCATTTTCAACAGCGTTCACCCGTTTTTCCCACCGTCTCCAATCTGTGAATGCACTCGGCGCGAGATCGCGCCCCGATTTATTCCCACCTTGCGCTGCTTCCTGCTCCCCCGTTGCCCTTCTTCCTTGCTGCCTCCGTGCTCTCACTCCCATCGCTTCACCCTCCCATTTGTGATGCCAACCTGTGCTCGACACAGACCGACCGAGCGTCAATCTTCACAACCAGCGGCCGATGGTTGTGAAAGTGGGAGCCCGCTAAGGAGTGTGTAACACTCACCTGCCGGATCCATCAGCCTGACCGGATGGCACTGCAGCGCGCGGGGTGGCTCCATTACTGCGGCCAGTGGGACTACACAGGGCCTGCTGCAACCCCGCAGCGTGAGCTAGGTGCAACGGGTCCTGTTACAGATCGTTAGTGGTAGTAGCGAAATTCTTCAAATGAGGACTTTAAAGACCGGAGCAGAGACGGTTCCATGTGAACGCAACCTGCCGCAGTCTCGCTGCGGTCTCCCCACAAATGCCCCGGGCCGCTCCACCCTGCTGCGCCCGGGCATGGTCCTCCACTCTTTGGGACTCGATGGCATGCTCACACTCAAACCTCTCTCAGCAGATCATGGTCGGCGGACGCTGCACCCGTGGCAACCTCCGCGACTCAGGTTTCTTCCGCTTCGTGGGCCAAACACCCACTGGCCTTCATGCAAGTTGACCTCCTCAGCCCGTATCTCAACGCGCACAAGATGGAGAATTTTCGTCGATGCCCCTTTGTCCGACGATGCAGCAACTGAGCCAGGCCCGTTGGTCCAACATCGGCCTCGAAATCGATCATCGATTCAAAGGCATCAATAAAATAAAGGCAGAAAAAACAATAATAAAGATAAAGTCGGATGCGAGCGAACACAAAAAGGTAAGGGAACCGGGGGCCACGCCTGGTTGCGCCTCACCGTCGACACCCCGCGCGCGCCGTCAAGCGGATGAGGCCGCACTGGTGCGACTTGCAGAAAACACGCCAAATACCCTTGTAAGGGTATTTGGTATGACACCGCCATCCCCGAGCACTTTTTTTTTTTTTTGTCGGTCTACCTTCTTCTTCTTGTTCTTCTCGTCATCCTCCACCGCCAATCATCATCATCATCATCTTCTTCTCCTTCTTAGTCCCACCTTCTTTTTCTTCTTTTTCTTCTTTTTCTTCTTCTTCTTTTTCTTCTTCTTCTTCTTCTTCTTCTTTTCCTCCTCCTCCTCCTCCGCATCTTCTTCTGCTTCTTCCTCTTCTTCTTCTTCTTCTTCTTCTACTTCTTCTTGCCCCCTCCCTGCCCGCCATCCCTGAGCACTTATTATTTTATTTTTTTTGTCGGTTTACCATCTTCTTCTTCTGCTTCTCGCCGTTGTTTGCCCATCCTTTCTCGCCATCCTCCACCACCAATCATCATCATCATCATCTTCTTCTCCTTCTTAGTTCGACCTTTTTTTTTTTCTTCTTATTCTTCCTCTTTTCCTCCTCCTCCTTCGCATCTTCTTCTTCGTCCTCTTCTTCTTCTTCTTCTTCTTCTTCTTCTTCTTCTTCTTCTTCTTCTTCTACTTCTACTTCTTCTTCTTCTCGCCGTTGTTTGCCCATCCTTTCTCGCCATCCTCCACCGCCAATCATCATTATCATCATCTTCTCCTTCTTAGTCCGACCTTTTTCTTCTTTTTCTTCTTCTTCTTCTTCTTCTTCTTCTTCTTCTTCTCCTCGCCCTCCTTCGCATCTTCTTTTTCTTCTTCCTCTTCTTCTTCTTCTTCTTCTTCTTCTTCTTCTTCTTCTTCTTCTTCTTCTTCTTCTTCTTCTCGCCGTTGTTTCTTATCCCCTGTCCGCCATCCTCCACGACCAATCATCATCATCATCATCTTTTTCTCCTTCTTAGTCCCACCTTCTTCTTCTTCTTCTTCTTCTTCACGTGTCCCACAAACATCCACTATATCCCACTTTGTTTGTTTGTTTGTTTGTTGTTGTTGTTGTTTTTTTTTTTTTTTTTTTTTTTTTTTTTTTTCGAGGGGTTGAAAGGGGGGCCAAGGGGGGTGCGTTCGGTGATTGTTGGCGAGTGCTTCCACAAGTTGCTGTTCAATGGCGGGCAGTGGCGGCACTGGTGTTGCAGCAGGCGGTGGGAGTGGTGAATTCGGAAGGAGGAGACCTTCATGATCGACAGACAAAGGAAAGGCCAGTGCCGGTACCAGTGCTCCTGCGTCTGGGGTGACTGCAAAGGATCCCATGCCGGCGTCAGACCCCTCTCTGTTTGTTCCTTAGGATGACACGAGGCAACAACAAATGCAGTGCACTCGGGACGTGTGGAAATACGTTATACAAGGTCAAGAAACCCTGTCGAAGGGTCGAGGAAAGTATTGGCTGAAGTGCCGGCTATGCACGCAAATTTGGAGGGGTACGAGCACAAGGGCAGTGGAACACTTTTTGAAGTTGTTGAAGCCGTGTCCCTTGAGGACAGGTGAGATGGTGCACAAGCTCGTGGTCGCCGGTGAGAAGGTGCTGCCGAGCGACAAGAAAACGCATTACCTCTTGAAGAACTATAGGCAGTTGCATGGCATTGAGGAAGGGGGGGTGACTGTGACGGAGACTCAGGACGTGGAGCCGCCCGTTTGCGAGTACGAGGAGCCGCAACCACCAACCACTGCGGGGATGACACCACCGAAAACAGCTTCCCGAACAGAGCCGGTCGCCGCTTCAGACTACGGGCTTGCGGAAGGTTCAAGGTCAAACACGAGGGTGGCATCATTGCAGTAGACATCAATCAAGAGATGGGTGGACAACAATGCACAGAAGAAGCTGGATATTGCGTGGGTGGAGGCGATGTTCCGTGTTGGCATTGCGTTCAACTTCCTGAACTTTGACACGAAGCAGAAGCTCCACGAAGTTTACTTGGAAGTGGCGAATGCGCGATCGAAGGTCAAGCTGCCCTCGTACAAGCATATGAGAACGGTGATGCTTGACTTCATCTACTTACGAATTCAAAAGCAAGTGCATCCTTTGACAACCTATTGGGATGAATCTTGCTGTACATTCATCACGGACGGGTCATCCGACCGTCGAGAGCGCCCTGTCATGAACTTCTTGGCAGCGGGGGAGAAGGGTGCAGTTCTGGTGGCCACAATGTCAATGACGGCAAGGAAGGAAACAACGCAGGCGTTGGCAAAGTTGTGGGAGCAGATCATGAGGGAGATAGGGGTGCGTCGCATCAACGCGATCTGCACCGACAATGCCGAGGTGAACAAGAAGGCTGCTCAGATTCTGGAGCGCCGCACTGACAAAGACATTGCAAGGATTCCATGGGTTCCTTGCGTTGCGCATTGTTGCAGCCTTTTGCTGCGAGACTTCAACAAGCTAGACTGGGTGAAGACCACTGTCAAGAGAGGCCACACTATTGTGAAGTTGATCCAGAACCACCACTCCACGAATAGCCTGATGATGTCCATGGACGATTCCCTGACATTGCTTCGTCCCACAAAAGTTTGGTTCGGGTCAGTGTACATGATGTTGGAGAGGCTTCTGAACAGGAAGGCAGTGCTGTCGGATATGGTGGATCGGAAAAATGCAGCACGGTGGACGGGGATCCGTTGGTCCACTGCAAAGTTGAAGTCAAAAGCGGACCTGGTTTACTTCACCATGAGGAGAGACGGCTGGTGGATGGAGTTGAAGAAGGTGGTCGATGTAATGGAACCGTTGTACAACCTTCTTAGGAGGATGGATCGGGATGGAACATCGTCGACAAACCTTGTCGAATACGACGATCTGATCGAAAGGAAACTGGCTCATGTTGTTCTCACTGAGGAGCAGCGGGCGAGCGTCATGGAGAAAGCCAGAGATCGGGTGAAGATTATGCGGCAGCCAGTACATGCACTGGCGTTTCTTCTGGACCCGCGCTGGAGAAATCCACGGTGGCTCTATGATCGGGACAATGCAATTGTGTAGAACGCGATGCGTTACCTGCAGAGACACGTTGAAGGTCCTTGGAAAGGGCCAGACCACCTTGACGTTTTGGGTGACCTGCACGAGTTTCACAAGGAGCACATGCCGAACGGGCCCAAGAGAAAGGACAAGAAGATGTGGGAGCCTGATGCGAAGGTTGATTGCGAGAAGCTCACACCGTCAGAGTGGTGGGCGACTTATGGTGGCGATGTCCCCGACTTGCAGTCCATTGCCATCAAAGTAATGGGCATGTCGAGTACAACAACACCGACTGAGAGGAATTGGTCGTCCATGGACTTCGTGCATTCGAAAAGGAGGAACAACTTGAAGCCCGAAACATTGGAGAAGTTGGTGTACATCCATTGGAACATGCAACTATTGCGTGTTGCCAACAACGGCGGTGCCAACGACGAGGGCTACGTCAATCTGTGGATTTCGTTCTTCGAGGCTATTCCGGAGCCAGACGAGAACGATGGATCTATCTTGAGGGGCCCTGAGGACGAAACTGAGAAGGCGGATGAGGAGTTGGTGCGACAAAGTAGCTTCGTGAAGACACTGAAGGGAAGGATTGCAAAGAAGCTCGAGGACGAAGAGGACTAGTGCACCGACGACAATGACTTGGATGATGAGTTGTGGAAGGGGAAGTTTGGATTGTCGGATGAGACGAGCGGCGCGGACGAGGAGGAGGATGAAAGTGATTCCGATTTTGAGCTGGGAACCCAGCCATCGGTCCCGGGCACTACTTACGTTGGTAGGAGAGAACCTGCAGGGCGTCGGAGGGAGAAGCAGCCCGCGGTCTCTACACAGGCCCGGAGGGAAAGCTCCTCCCGATACCATCCTCAGTCCGACGTTGAGTTCCATCACATGGACACAGACATCGAGTTGCTGCTGCAAAGAGGTCCGGTTGATGAAGATGAGGCGGAGGCCGACCGTGCAAAGGCATTAGCAGATCACGATAGAGATGCCATCCAAAAACGGATCATGGAAGATGATGCCCGACGCACAACAATCCCAACTCGGAGGGAGATTAAGAGATGCAAGAAGAAGGTTGGGGAAAAGGAACCGGAGACACGTCGGCCATCGGACGCTGTGCAAGAGCGAGAAGAGGAAGAGCAACAGCAAAGTGGACCGGTTTTGAAGGTGGCGGACCAGCAAGAGGCGAAGCACCGCAAAGAGGCGGACCAGCAAGAGGCGGACCAGCAAGAGGCGGAGCACCGCAAAGAGGCGGAGGAGAAGGACCAGCAAGAAGACAAGGACGACATGGACCACCTACAAGAGGCAGAGATGGAGCACGGAGAAGAGGACGAGGAGATGGAGCATGAAGAGGACGAGGAGGGGATGGAGAGTCAAGGAGTGGAGGAGGCCATGGAACAGCAAGAAGACGCGGAGGGCATGGATCAACAGGACATGTGTAGACTCCCCTGCCTGCAGTGAACGACGAAGAAGAGCACCAGCCTGCAAGAAGTGGAGGAGGCCATGGAACAGCAAGAAGTGGAGGGCATGAATCCATTGGAACATGCAGCACAACGTGGATGACGTGGACGACGAAGGGCCATGGAGACGCGTCCAACGTCATCCACGTTGTGCTGCAAGAAGACGCGGAGGGCATGGATCAACAGGACATGAGCAGCAAGAAGACGAAGAGGAGCACCAGCGTGCAGTGAAGACTGTGTACACACGTAGGCAACGACCGGTTGTGTCTGCACAGTCTGTCAAGAACTCACCTGACTTCCCTCCCAGCAATGAGGCTGTCCAACATGACAACCTGTGGGTGAGCAGGGTGGGGAGGAAGAGGAAGGAACTGGTGGAGGATGCTGCTGCGAAGCCTAAGCGTGCTCGTGGCAGGCCCCGCAAGCCGAAGACCGCTGAAGCCGGTGCAAAAAAAAAAAAAAAAACATTCGCCAGCACAAGGCTCGCGCGGAGGTTGTGGAGGATGACCCCGATTTAGATAACTGCAGTGAACGGTCATCTGAATTCGAGGGAAGCCACTCCGATGGCGAATGAGGTCGCCGTGAGAGTGTGTGTGTGTGTGCGTGTGTGTGTGCGTGTGTGTGTGTGTGTGTGTGTGTGTGTGTGTGTGTGTGTGTGTGTGTGTGTGNGGGGTCAGGACCTGCCGCTTTGCTGACTGCTTGGACATTGAGACGGGGCGGGGTCAGGACCTGCCGCTTTGCTGACTGCTTGGACATTAAAACGGGGCGGGGCAGGACTTGAAGCTTTGCTGATTGCTTGGACATTGAGACGGGGCGGGGTCAGGTCCTGCAGCTTTGCGTTTTGCCTAAGATATTGAAATGGGGCTGGTGATGAGGTCCTTCACACTGATCCGGTCGCTTTGTTGTTTGCCTAAGACATTGAAATGGGGCTGGAGTTGAGGTCCTTCAGACTGATCCGGTCACTTTGCTGTTTGCCTAAGACATTGAAATGGGGCTGGAAATGAGGTCCTTCAGACTGATCCGGTCGCTTTGGTGTTTGCCTAAGACATTGAGATGGGGTTGGAGATGAGGTCCTTCAGACTGATCCGGTCGCCTTGCTAAGTGAGTCAGTTTTGCTTGTTGACAAAGGTCTGACTTTTCTCCTTGTGAGGATAGTCCAGGCTAGTGTGTTGATGATTGCATGGGGTCTGACTGGGAACAACCTGGAAAATAAAAATTAACTAAGTAAGATACAGGATTAATGTTTTCGGATCAGGACACACGAAAGATGAAAACTTAGGATGAACGAACCCTTGTTTTGAATTGGCTGAATGCATTGTGGACTTGATATGCTTGCTGACAATGACTTGTCTTTTGTTCAGGCTCTGTCTGTTTTCTGCATAATAGGGTAGTTTCTTAGTGCTCGCCCTATGCTTGAGCGATAGGCAGGTAGGTGCTCACCTTTGTTTTTGCATTTGTTTTCTTATGCATGATTATTTTTGATAGAACATTGGCTAGTGCAAGGAACATGAATGTGGACGAAGCACAAAAATCCAAATTGCAAAATCACGCTGAAGTCCAAGTAGTCAAAGCAAGAGCAAATAGCACAATGGAACCGAGTAACCATCCAGTTGAGAACGATGCAAAAGAATTGTGAGTCAATGTCCAAGTCGAATCGGGTAACACCAACAGCGTAACCCAATGTAGCTCTCTCTCTTGAATGGCGCCAGGCGCCCTATCTACTCTACAACCTAACACTACAACTACAACATGGAAGCAACTAGACAACTTGACGACCAACGAGTGATGATGTCAATACCAATGCCGACTTCCTCTCCACCAGGTACGTCTCTCTCTTAACCCCCACTCTCCCTTGTTATCCCACACAACGCCCTTCACTTCCCGAAGAACCACCTTTGCCCTCACCTCCCTCTGTGCCCACAGGCAGCCCGACTATTGCCGCCAGCGCCCTGCGCCCAGGCTGCGCCCTACCGCTTAGCGCCAGCCTGCCTTCTTCTTAGCCTAACGCAGCGCAGCTCAGCACAACACCTCGCAGCTTCAGCGTGCCGACATTGCTCGCAATGCTCTACCTATATGCCCAGCAGCGTGAGGGCGGCCTCGTTTCAGCCTGTGCCTGGGTCCCGGTAACTGTGCCCAGATCCAATGCAGATAAGGGCCCAGGCCGTACAATTGTGCTTCTTACATCAAGCCCTTTGTCCAGATTCAGATAGTGGGCTGGTTTCCCACTGGCATTTTCGGCCTCTATGTCCAGCATGCAATGTCGGCCTCACGTTTATGCGCCCAGGGCCTAACTAATTATGAGGCCCTGGTCCTTCTGCATTTGCAGGGATCTGGTACTCGGTGCACTCCAACCAACTGGCGTGCGGCAACTGTCTGGACCCCACTTCGTGAAATGTTGCAAAAAGGCCTCTCGTTGATTTGCTAGCCCGCCTTCACTTAGGGCGGGCACTAGGCTTGCTGGGGGTCTTAGCCCAGAACATGTACATCACGGCAAGGCCCCTTTGAGGGCTCAATCGTCACACTAGCCTCTTAGTTAGTAGAAGTTTTTGGGAGCCTCTTTTCCTTAAGGGAGAAGCTGCCAAAATTTTTACTAATACTCAAAGTTAATCAAGTCTTAGGGAGGTCAGCTAGGATATGATACAATTTAGTCTTCGGAGACAGTAGGAATTTTGGAAGTCTTCCTTTCTAAAGGAAGTGTTGTCGAAATTTTTACTGAAACAAAAAAGTTAGTTTATTTTCAGATATTTTTAGAGTTTTAGAGTCATGAGTTTTTTTGAGATTTGGTATAGTAAATATTATTCAAGTACACTTCCCTAAAAGAAGTGCTGCCAAAATTTTTGGGATTTTCATATCGTTACCGGACGCTACTACTAAGTAGCCTAGAGTGCAATACGGAGTTGGACTCCGTTAACTCGATAGGCAATGTCTGTCTTGATCTTTGTGACACAGGTCATTGCTACCTGCAAGTGTTTTTCGAAGTCTTGAGCTTCATCAACTTCTGCTATCGGACTGATAGCAAGTCGGTTTGCGACTCAACTCCTACCCACCGTGATACGCATGCCCTAATGTCTGAGACCCTATAGGCGAAAGGCATTTCCGTATGAACGATAACCTAACCTTGGAACCTCTCTTGAATGGCCATGAAAAAGTTGTGTAACATGGATCGGTCGGGCATACCTTTGTCAAATGGGGGTCGGAAAGGGGCGTGTGGGACATAAACCTAGGAGCAAGGGGGTTGACCACGTTTTGTGGCATTTGGATGTTTATTTTTCATTGGGTTTCATGTGTGTGCAGGTATGTATGGGAGCGAGGAAATCGCTCCTGGATTGAGAGTGGTATGGATGAATGAGTGCAAGGTGTGAGTGACAAGGTTCAGCTATGGCTGTGAGAATGACTCTCCCTGATTTCCTCCGAGACTCGCCCTTTCCTTTTTCTTATTTTTCTCTTGCCGCACGCTTCTAGCGAGCAGGCAGGAGAAGCCGAGCACAAGGTTTAGTGCTCGACCTTTGTTCGGACCAAGACCTGGTTTAGGTATGGCGAATTGCTCGCCAACTCGTGACTGCTCTTATTTTTTTCCTCAGGGGAGAGACGAGCGAATCCCATCTCAAAGGGGGTTTGCTTTTTAAATTACTAGTCGGACGTTGGTCCTGAGCTTGAAATTCGAGGTCCTTGTCCAGGACATTCCAGACTCTGGTCCAACACAACAGGGTTTCCCCCTTGAGCCGGGCCTACGCCTCTTGCTTATCATCACCCACTGCCTAAAAGACAGGGGTGCCGCATGGGCCGCACGGCTCATCCTTCAGCCGTGCAATATCGTGAAGGAAGAACCTTTCACGATATTTTGCTTTTGACACTTGAGTATCGTACGCAACCCCGAAACCCATGAGAGGTACGCGGATTTGGGTAACGCATAAAGTGTCGCCATGATAGCTGATCAACTGAGTACACATGACTGAGCGTTATGATTCTCTTGACGGTTGCATTTATTTTTATGCAACTTCGTGTGGGTCGCGCTCTGAGACAAAGACTTTTATGAGTTATGGGTTAGGATGAATGAAAAAGGGATAGGCTTATTTGTTTGTCTGAGTTATTTTTGTTTTGTCATATATCGCGTGGTTGAGTTAGGATGTCCTATTCGATCGACACTGAATCGCACGTGGGAGATCAACGCCGCAGCGTGACGATCCGCGTACAGGTCCGAGCTAGGCGTGGACCGTGCGTACCCCCTATGCTACAACATACGAGAAACACCCTCGGCTGGGCCACCTCCGCGATTGCAAGTAAAAACTTCCGCATGTGGTTCAGTAGCTCGGCGGGAATACGCCCACCCAAGGGATGGTGACAACTCCCGCGGGTGGAGGTAAGTTGAACCTCGTGAGACCTTGTCCTGTCGTAGGGACTCGATGGAGGTATAGCTGGCGCACTTGGCCGGAGCGGCTCCACCGCTTCCCTTTTCGTGAAGCGACATGCGAATTCTACCAATCTTGCGTGATGCGGCCGGGCCCCCCCAGCGGGGACCATGCGCACGACACCGTGCTTTTGGTGCTCGGTTCTCATCGTGGATACGTGCTTTTCGTGCTCATCGTGTATCCGTGCTTTTCTTTGGGGCATGATCACCTGCTCATCATCGATTCGTGCTTTCGTGCTCATCGTGGATCCGTGCTTCTCTTTGGTGCATGATATATGTTTTTCGTGCTCATCGTGGATCCATGCTTTTCTTTGGTGCATGATCATGTGCTCATCGTCGATCCGTGCTTTTCGTGCTCATCGTGGATCCGTGCTTTTCTTTGGTGCAGGATCATGTGCTTATCATCCCTGCTTTTCGTGCTCATCGTGGATCCGTGCTTTTCTTTGGTGCATGATCACGTGCTCATTGTGGATACGTGCTTTTCGTGCTCATCGTGGATCCATGCTTTTCTTTGGTGCATGATACGTGCTTTTCGTGCTCATTGTGGATCCGTGTTTTTCTTTGGTGCATGATCACGTGTTCATCGTCGATCCGTGCTTTTCGTGTTAATCGTCGATCCGTGCTTTTGGTGCTCGGTGCTCATCGTGGATACGTG